GTCTTGTTTCGGTGATGAAGACTTCGTTCGCCGGCTTTGCTCCATAGATTCTTGCCTGAAGTACGTGGAGAGACAAATATACAGTACGGAGCATCACGAGCATCGTACTACTGTACATTTTTTAAAGAAGCGGGGACCGATCTGAGGCCAGTGGATGCCATGCTGCGGCTGTGCATAGTACAGCGGTTAAGCGATATCTGGCAGCTGCAGTGCCACACTGGCTCAAGAAGTTCGGCGACAGCTGAAAATCGTGAGGGAGGGGCGGGAGGGACATCGAGAATCGCACCGGGCCTGCCGAAACCAGAACCCGAAACCTTTAATCCCAAAGCCCAAGGTCTGTGGAACCTGAGCTAAAGCCTCACCCTAAGCCTTGCACCCTAACGCTAGAAGCCCTCAACCCTAAGCTTGTGGCTCAAACGGCTCAAAAATTGGCTCAAACTGGCTCAAGCATGTGCTTTGTATCTATCAAAACTGAAGTTTCACCTATTACGAGATCTGTCTGGCGGATCTTTGAGTCTGAACCACCTGAAAACGACATCTGTCTCGAGGTTTGCCTTGCAAAGATATCAGAATAAGAGTTTTCTGCAATAAAACCTACGGTTCTTCAAATAGCTTCCAAGTGGCACTCGTCAACAAAATGTCCTTTTCCCTAAAATGATGCGGGTCACCTTTTTTTTTGGTCCCCGTATCTCCTCCGGGTTGTAATTGTGATAAGGAGCCCAAAGACATGACATTGCTAAGTATTCCGACCCCCTCTCAAGGAGCCCTCATAGTAGCACCCCATTATCCTTTAACTAGGACCTAGAGCAGGCCCTTATTCCCTTTTTGGGGGTGTAGGTTGTCTCTTATGACCCCCTTTAAACCAAAAAGGGCACCCTTTTTATTCCTAGGTTACTCTTAGGTCCGTTAAACAACCCTCACAGGAAACCCGCGTATAAGCATGTTCTAAGCGTCGGGGAGAAGGGAGTCGAGCCCAAGGGAGATGATGGCACGGTGAGGGGCGAGGGCTGCTTGAACTGGAGTCGCAGTCAAGGGTTAGGTTTTGAATCGGGCTGATAGGGCTCATGACTGAAGGATTTATGGGGTTCGGGGTTAAAGGTTTCGGAGCTAAGGATTATTGAAACGGGGTTTCCAGCAGCAGCAATGTTGCTAATGCTTGTTAGCATGCATGCTTTTACATTTACAACTGCAGCGGTATAGTAGTAGCAAATCATCACCACGACGACTACTACTACCACTGCTGCTACTGCTACGACGATCATCAAACTGACCATTCATGTCTGGAGGTCAATAGGATTTTGCTTGAAATCGATGTGTTCACTATAGCCTTAAACCCTACGCCCTAAACCCTACCCTAACCCCTAAACCCTGAAAGCCTTGATCTTGAACCCTAAACTCCAAATCATCAACCCCCCGAAACCCTACTCCCCAAAACCTTGAACCCTAAACTCTATAACCATGAGAAACCCTAAGGCCTAAACCTTAAACCTTAAGCCCTAATCCCCAAATTCAGGATCATGGCGGCCAGCAGCTGCCGGAGCTACATTTGCGGACGCGACCGGCTCTGGACCTTTGGGCAACAATCGAATGTAGGGTTTTAGGATTTAAGATTTAGGGTTTAGGATTTAAGATTTAGGGTTTAGGATTTAAGATTTAGGGTTTAGGATTTAAGATTTAGGGTTTAGGATTTAAGATTTAGGGCTTAGGATTTAAGATTTAGGGTTTAGGATTTAAGATTTAGGGTCTAGGATTTAAGATTTAGGGTTTAGGATTTAAGATTTAGGGTTGAGGGTTTCAAATTTAGTGTGCCTTGTAGGTTCGTTTTTGTAAGGGTGCCGTACCATTTTGGGGACCGAGACAGGGACCCGAATTTAGAGAACTACTACTGTCTGTACGGAATTACGTAGTGGTACTATGCCGGAGGTCCCTTGTCAGTACTAGTAAGATAAATTATAGAGCCCTACTATTTTAGCCTTGTTCAGTCCTAGCCGGGGGCTGTAGTGTAGTTCAGCGCTTATAGAGGGCTCTCGGGCTTTTGGGTTTCGTTAGGGTGTAAAGTTAAGGTTTTTCGTTCTTGCGTTTAGGGTCTAGGGCTCCAGGACTTGAAGGTTCCCTGGCGACTGTGTTCGCCGCCGACGACGCGGCACGTTCCTGACATATTCGATACCACAAGCCTTGCACTTTCCGCGGCTGCAGCCATGGCGCAGTTCTTGGGTGTTGATGTCTCTGCATCAAGGGAAGGTTCGTTGCTCGCCAAGACGAAGCAGTGTTTAGCCTTCCCAAAGTAGGATCCCTCCAGTCGGCTGCTGTCAATCCTCCAAGTTTTACCTACTATGCTCGGATTCCTTGCAACTGTGCTCCACCTCATGCAGCTCACACATCGCATGTATCGACATGGAAGGCTGTGCTGTCTGACTAGATAATGCACACACTGCCACGGTAAAGACGTGTCAGTGCACGTGCGCCGTTGTGTTGCGAGTAGGTAGCACCCAGCAGCTAGTAGGGTATGCTGGCCTGGTTCAATTCTCCAATCATTATTTAAATGAACAAGGCTTGCGCGTGCCCAAGACCTTTATCGGCTGCTCAGGAATTGGCTGGATGTTTTCGTGGCACCTCGGCAGCACTGCCAGGACCCGATGTTGGTGCCCTCTTTGTTCTGACACCAGCTCAAGCAATCCAGTTCTCCTTTTTCATTCAGGTTGTTCAAGAATCTGACCTTTTTGCTGATTTATGGCTCCTTGCTTTGGGGCTGGACTGATGCTCCGGAACATTGTGATCGCATGCATCGAACGTATCACTGTCTCATTATCAAACTATGAGTTTTTACAGCCTCCAGAATACTCCGGTGCAGGTTTTTCAAGCTTTGGAGCTTAAACTGGCCTAAACTCCACCAAACCTACCTCTATTGTCTGCTACAAGGGTCGGATGCCAACATCCAAGATGCCTGGTGGGGTTCTTGGTAGCGGAACTCGATCTCTTAGCCCAAAGCCCGGAACGCCGCAGAGCCTTGAACCCTAGACCCTAAACCCCTAAACCCTAAATCCTAAACCCCTAAACCCGAAACCCCTACTGTCAAACTGCTGGGAGCAGCTGACACTGGCAGCCGCTACCGAAACTAATGGGCGCACCGGCCTTTTCTCGCGACAGCAAAAACGCTTGTGCCTCCACACAGCCGCCGGCAGTCGCGTCTGCTCTGTGCACTGCGGAAGTGACCTGCTGGAAAGCGGGGTACAGCTACTCTTACAGCTTTACACCTACACCCTAAACCCACAACCCGCCAAACCCTACACCCCAAACCCAACACCCCATACCCAACAAGAATCCAGACGAGGTGAGCACCTCTTGGCTGGTGATCGGATTGGAGGTACTGGTCACTGCCGGCATGAACGAAGCGCCGCTCGTGCACAGTGAGGGATTAGGGTTTAGGGGTCTAATAGATTGAGGGTTTAGGGTTCTGTTCAGAAGTTTTGAGTTGGGGTTTACGGGTTTAGGGTTCAGGGGTTTATGATTCTGAGGGTCTACGATACTGGTCTTTTTGGGTAGTCGTTCTACTAGTGGTGGGTTAGGTTTAAGAATATGCCCGAAGCTATAGACCAAAGCAATCCTGAATCCTACCTACAGACTGTATTTAGATAGTTTGTGCTTCAGGGTAAGTTTGGTGGATTTCGGCAGTCAGATGTATATACGCTCGGGCTACAGGTCTTGAAGGTGCGGTGATTGTTCAGGTTTCGGGTTTGGTTTTCGGGGTGTCATTTTCTGAAGCCTGGTGTTGGTTTTACATTTCCGCATGTCCAAGCTCCCGAATCGTCAGATACCCTTTCATTTCTTGCTCAATTCTTAGCCCGGGCTCGGGCTCGAGCCCATGGAAGTCTAGGTACTGAGTTAAAGGCTTCAGCTTCAGTGTCCTGTGCCCTAGGCTTAGGGCGTCGAAACCACCAAAACAAGAAACGTCGCCTCCCTACATTTCTTACTTGGGGCTCTTCCTTGTGTTTTCGACTTACCTTAACCTACCA